CCAATTTTAAGCTTTCACAGTGATATCTAAAGTACTAATTATTACATTTCAATGAAACTTAGTACAAAGATGCTCTAGGACAATGTACAAACCTAATTAGTTTGGGGTAAAATCTGTTCATATTAATTCCCTAATAAGGCATAATAATTCATAATTTTTTGGTTCTAATCACATTTCAATTAAACTTGGAACCATAGATTTTATGTTACATTGCGCAGACCTCTTTAGTTTTACACTCAAATCTGTTCATATTAATTTTCTGATTTGCATCAATTAGTTTTCAGCTAAGTAATTTCGAATTATATTTAATGTGTCTCCAATACTCTCAGCACATGGGAGTTCTTTCTAAGCTTTCTTTGATTTGAATATCAATGTACTCACCAGACGACTGTTTTGCCACACTTGACCTTTCAAAAAATCCGAGGTTTATGTGTAAATTAGCTAAAATGGTTTAAAGTTTTGTGGGAAGAATGCCAGGTTTCAACTTTTTAGCTCCGCTATAGACTTTTTCCAGCAGACCTTATCATACGAGCGATTGTCAGTTGCCTTCCGCATCAACTTTTTACTTTTACGGCTTCTTCTTGAAAACTACAAGCCTGATTGCTTTGATACCAGAGGCTGCTTGTTCGATATTCATTTCATTGATTTCATTTAGAAGACTTTAAACTGTTTGACTTACTGGCTATGTAAAATAGTCCTGCTTAGCAAAATTTTAGCATGAAGACCTATGCATTGTTTTTGTAGGGTTTTAACTGTGATTACAAAGCAAGTTCCCTGTGAATTTTTAAAGATATCATGCAGTGATTACAAAAGGGTAACTGAGGTAAGTTGTCAGTTTCACATTCTGAATTTTGGCAAACACCAGCTGGCTTTGAAATGGCGGTCAACATTTTCAAATACCAGTGTAAATTGGCTTTATTTTTGGGACTTTTCAACATTGCAATGATGCATATTTGATTTTAAAAATTAAACAAATCACTTCATTTAATTGGCTTGTCCATGTATATATAGTATAGGATACAAGGATCAGATCATTCAACTTAAATTAACAGCATGGATAACTTCAACACTTGCGAATTCTAAATATGGAATGATTACACACATAAGCGTCCTCTAATAATAATAAACAAACATGGCTGCTCCCAGGATTTGACCCCAAACAAAGAAGTTCGCTAAATATGTTCTAACATTTTTGGATTTCAGCATTTCCATGTATTCCTGGGAGGAAAGGATGTATAATAATAAAGTTATTATGAGGATACTGCAAAGTATGCACGAAGACAGTACAGCGGGAGTAGCGACTGACGCACAGCGGAGGTCAATGCGACCATGTACTGTCTGAGTGCATACTTTGCAGTATCCTCGTAATAACCTCATACTATTACACCTGCTTCTGAATTGTGTCTTGAGTAACTTTCATACCCCCCCCCCCCATATTCTAATTAGTTGTTATATATGGTCTGTATGCATAGATAATCTGCCCATCTATGCATATACAGGGCAAACCATGTGTTTATATATTTGGTACTTTATTATTGTCTATGGGGTGTTTAATTATCATCTTTTGTTTTCAGCAAATCCACATAAGAGAAACTTCCGAAAAAGTTGATCTCATCCAAGCTTGTCCGTCCTATAACCTGTGGCCCAGGCAGTCTCTTCAAAAATTAGCCAACCTCATTGAATGGTTAAAATTTCAAGCAAACATAGGCAAGTTGTGACAAGTATTGTTTACATAGATTAGAAAATATCCCAAACACTGTCAAAGTTTTATGTTATACCTTATTGTAAATCCTGTGTTGATTTCAGTACTCGTCAGTGAAGGTTACAAATCTCCATTTATTGGTTTCATCAAATCTGGTGAATGTCATGTATTGAGACAAGTAGAAGTGATGGAAAAACTTGCTAATGGGCAAGAGGTATGTATGAATAGAGTGCATGTTTTGTAAGTCACCAACCATTGTATTGTATTGTACAGACAAATTATATTTTATGCAACACAGCAGACAATTATAGTTTATATAATGAAGAGCAACATATGCACACTCTGTGCCACATAGTTTCAACCACCAATGTACATTGTATCACTTCATTCTATAGGTTAAAAGAAAGAAGCAAGTAGTTATGGGCAGAATGAAGAAGTCTCAGTCTTTTGGTGAAATAAGTGTTTTACAGAATGAAGCAATTACTTGTTCAATTGTCACAGCTTCAAATATTGAAATTGGTGTGATCACCCCTGATAGGATAATAGGTAAAAGTTTTCATATAATTTGTTGAATCTAGAAAAAATGCTTTTAGTGCTCTCCTAGGGCATGGTGGATGGTTTGCATAATGTACATAAATTGTACATTTACATAAATAACCTTCATCCAACACAATTTGTGTCTTTACAGAGCTTGATGATACAACACGTTCCCTATTAGTACAGTCCAATGAACCAACATTTGGGAAATTGACCAACCAAGATATCCACGATGAATATGTGGATCAGGAACTAAAACGAGAGTGGAACCAGTTCAAACATGGCGTGGTCATAGATGTCATCAATTCAAAGGGTATCAGACCTGGATATGGAAAATGGAACAAATAATGTGTGAAACAATTAGATATTACTTGATTAACTAAATGACTAATCTGTTGATAGATACAACTAAGGCAATAACATTACTTTGTATAAAATGTTTAATTACATTATACATGTACATATTCAATAATTAATTATTGAATGGTTATACACTTGCCTAGGTCATTTATGTTTGATGGATGTTACATGAGACTATAGCAACAATGGTAACTGGAAAGAAATTGAGCGAGCACCCTGCCCCACAAATTGTGCCAAAACTTACTTACAGGATTATAAATGTGATGGTAAAAAAAAACATGCTGCTGCTGCTGTGCAAATTCATCTTGCAATACTAGTCACTTTCAGTTGCTCAGCAGAACCCATATTCTTGTGTATCAATGTTGGTTTTGAATGTACACATACATTGCTACTATATTCATATGTATATATGTATTATTTGATATTCTTAAAATAAAAAAGAAGAAAAAGTAAATTTCATTTGTAAAATTGTCTATGAGTATACAGTGTATGTGGCAATACACACAGGTAACACAATGGTAAGCAGATATACAATCCATGCAAGAATATAAATTATCAAACCTTTTCTTTTACCACATTGCTGAAAGCATAGTATTTGTGTGACTGAGGGGTCAAGTTGGTACAACATTACCTCCAAAATAACGAAGATGGTTCATTCAAAAAGTAATCATAATTTGCCATGTAGAGAACAGTTTTAGTGCTGATCTGTTATATATATATATTATGCTCCCTACTGTCCCACATTTGAATTATTTAACTCTCCAATCCTCATCTTCATCAATGCTTTGTTTCAGCTCGGTCAATGCCCAACGTTTGTTGTCTATTTCTTCCTGCAGTTCTCCATATTGCTGTACAAGATTTTCAAATCCCATTCCCAGCGACTCGTATGCTTCAATGGCTTGGGTTAATCGACACAAGTCTTTTTCACATTGATGAAATGCATGGCTTAAGTGATGTCTGCAACATTCAAAGAATTGAGATTGTTTTGCTCTATTAGTATTCTCGGGTACGGACATCCAGGCATTTTCACAAGGTAAAACACATGCCGAAAACTGTACTTTGGGCTAGTTGTTGAGATTCCTGAACATTGTTAGAAGATTTACCCCTACATGTGTAACAAATATAAATTTGGTTGTTCAGGATTACCTCAAAGTTCAGTTTGTGCTGTTTTCTCTCAACTTTAGTTGTTTTGGCCTGCCCTGAGACCATAGAAATATGTGGTGCATGTCCAAGCCACATAAAATGTTGTGTGACGTACATGTAGCTCCTTCCCCGAGAATAGGATACAAACAAAACGGTGGAAATACATTTCACACACCCCAATCATCATTACTGTCTTTGCTTGGGTTATTCATTGGCAGTGCTTTATAATTTGACACACTTCATATGCAACACTACAATCACAAACTGTCACACCCTCCCATACAGACACATTTATAGAAGAAACTTACTTGATTTGTTTGAGGGCTGCTACTGTCTTCTGTGGGTAGGTTTCACACAAAAGATCAGCTTCCACGCACCTGTTAAATAACGTGATATCGTTCCATATTTATGAAGTATTCAGGTATGGTAACAATTATATAAGATTATTTCAAGAAATGTACACTGATAGGGAAATATGCTAAAGTAACAATATTGCAAAATGTATTTGTGACTGGCCTTCCATTCACGCAAATGAAAAAAACTTACTTTATTTTGAGACATGTTGCTCGACATCTTTCACTTAACCAGTCAGTGGTTCCTATGTCTTCCTGTGCCTTGGATGTCAATCTGTGCTGCTTTACAACAGTGGACAATAAACCAGACCATTCTACTAATGCCTGTACAAAAACAAAACCTTCAGTTACTATAATCCTATTTTACTAGATCACTGTTGATATAGTTTCCATGTGATGAATTAATTAAACAAATAAAATACAAATGAAGTGTTTTTCTTAAAGATGGTTAAGCAGGTAAATGTTACACAAGTCCCATGTTGTGACCTGGTTCCCCACGAATCCCCCTATGCTGCTACCTGGTTTCACCACGAGTCCCCCTATGCC